TCAATTTTGGGTGTGACTATTTTGGACACAAAAGGGGCACGGGTGGCACAGTGGGTTAAACCACAGAGCACTTGCCGATCAGAAGGTCGGCGTTCGAATCCCGCGACGGGGTGAGCTCCCGTTGCTCGTCCCTGCTCCTGCCAACCTAGCAGTTTGAAAACACGAAGTGCAAGTAGATAAAGGTACACTACTGGCGGGAAGGTAAACGGTGTTTCCGTGTGCTGCTCTGGTTCGCCAGAAGTGGCTTAGTCATGCTGGCCACATGACCCGGAAGCTGTACGCCGGCTCCCTCAGCCAATAAAGCGAGATGAGCGCCGAACCCCAGAGTTGGCCACGACTGGACCTAATGGTCAGGGGTCCCTTTACATTTACCTTATTTGGGACACCCACTCTTGCAAGAACATTTTGTAATCAATAAAGTCTTTGCTGCTTCACCAGTTTTGTTCAGATTTTATTTTGAGGGTCTCAAGGCCCACTTCTAACACCCCGCTTGTTCCTGATGTAGATCCTCACTCAACCCTTCTTCCCCAGATGTGGGGAGCGGCGTTTCAGGGTTCACCTGGCTGTCCCTAACTTGTATCACGAATGAGTTGTCGGCTAACAACCTCTGCAAGGCCACAGGCCTGCTACTTCTGCTTTAGCTGAAGATGCCAAGGACCTTCTGCATGCAAAACATGTACACAGTGGTACCTTGGTTCTCAAACTTAATCCATTCCGGAAGTCCAGTCCAGTCCAAAACCAAAGCATTCCAAAACCAAGGCACGCTTTCCCATAGAAAGTAATGCAAAATGGATGAATCTATTCCAGACTTTTAAAAACAACCCATAAAACAGCAATTTAACATGAATTTTACTATCTAAAGAGACCACACATAAAATGAAATCAATAATCAATGTACTGTACTATAAAATAAATCAGACAGTATTGTAGATTATAAAAATAAAAATATTATTTTTTCTTAGCTGTACTGATGACAGTCACTGTTCGGATGGGGGGCTTTTATCCATTTCCGCAGTCACAATCAATCAATCAATCAATCATCTTTATTACGGTCCAGAGACCCAACAAATCATTACAAATCAATACACAATTTTGTTGCATTGTGCCAAATATGAGCAGGCCAGGGCTGAACTGATATTACCCTTGCTGGTACCTTTCCCGGGAAAATCAGAGGCTCACTATGTCAGGTTCCTACTGGAAGACCGGACAAATGCTAGAACGTTAGCAGTGGCAAAGTTTTTATCGGTGGCTGCAAGAACAAATGAGCCCTATATTCTAAACAAAATGCTTGACTAATATTATCAGCCAGCCTTTCTTTGCTGTTTACAGTCAACAGTCATTGCAATAAAAACAATTAATCCAGTGGAAAGTTAGCATCAATTTTTCCAATCCGCAAATCATCTAAACCTAAAATTGTAAAAATCCCCTGAATCTTTTAAATTAAAATGCCCCTTTGGCAATCAACACTGGTTTTTTTAAAAAATAATAATAATACCGGTAGCTTTCTTACTGCTGGCACATATAACATTACTCTATAGGTAACAAATGAAACCATCTAATAATATTATGTCATCCCATAGACAGAAATGCATTACTACTGCAATGTGCTCTACGTGGGGCTACCTTTGAAGGTGACCCAGAAACTGCAATTAATCCAGAATGCGGTAGCTAGACTGGTGACTGGGAGTGGCCGCCAGGACCACATAACACCGGTCCTAAGAGATCTGCATTGGCTCCCAGTATGTTTCTGAGCACAATTCAAAGTGTTGGTGCTGACCTTTAAAGCCCTAAATGACCTCGGTCCTGTATACCTGAAGGAGCATCTCCACTCCCATCGTTCAGCCCGGACACTGAGCATAGCTGTCATCTTTCAGATTTGAAATAAGGGATCAGCAGCCTCGGAAATAAGGGATCAGCAGCCTCATCTGTCCCAGGGACAGTTTAACAATCCGGGATAACAGCGGGAAGCAGTAGGAAACGGAGCTGGAATAATGGAATTTCCTGCAAAAAATGGGAAGGTTGACAGCTATGACACTGAGATCCAGTGCCGAGGGCCTTCTGGCAGTTCCCTCATTGCGAGAAGTGAGGTTACAGAGAATCAGACAGATGGCCTTCTCGGTAGTGGCGCCCGCCCTGTGGAACACCCTCCCATCAGATGTCAAGGAAATAAGCAGCTATCTTATCTTTAAAAGACATCTGTTCAGGGAAGTTTTTAATATTTAATGCTGTTATTGTTTTTAACACTTGATTGGGAGCCGCCAGAGTGGCTGGGGAAACTCAAGCCAGATGGGCCGGGGTATAAATACTAAATTATTATTATTATTATTAACCTTAGAATGGACCTTGAGCAACTGATCAATTCTCTCCATCATGTTAGTTCCTTAATCAGGGTTACCCTTCTTTGAACTGCAGTATTTCTTAGGACACAGTTGATAGTGCTGTTAACTTAATTCTAGCATAAAGAATACAACCTGGGCGATACATTGATTTAATACGGCATCATATCACTATCAAGGAAGTTGAAAATAGGGGTGGGAGCAGGAAGTTGATTCAGTTTGAATTTAAAGGTAGACTTACGTAATTTGCATTTCCTGAAATAAGGTTCAAACCAAATGCAGTCATCCTTCAAAATTTGCAGTTTTCCAAATTTTGCAATGTGGCCCTCCAGCCAAATAATTTGTACAGACATGCATATACTAGTTTAAAGCTATTAGATTATATTTGGTGACAAATAGCATGCAAATATGCATTATATGAGGGGAAATTGCTTTCGAAAATGTTTATATCAGGATAAATTTGTGCTAAAATACTGATGAGTTTTCATGATGATTTAAAAATTAAAAAAACTGCAAACTGATGGAGAAATATGGGATCTTGCCAAGCCTATCCATGTGGTTCAGAAATAGATCCCTGCTACTGTACTCAACAAGACTTTCTCCAAAATAAGTTTGAATTGGAATGCGACATCAGAATAAAAGTCCATTTCATGTTCATTGTTGTATTTTATCTATAGTTTGGTAAATGTTATGCGACATATTTTGTATGTTTGATCAGTATTTATCGGTATATACTTGTGAATGGCTTATATTCTTTTCTGTAAACAGCTTAGAGGCTTCTTGTTAGACCAACAGTAGATAGATTTTGGGTAAGAGTTTCTACTCTGCATGCAGAAGGTCCCAGGTTCATTCCCCAGCAACTGTAAGGCTTCAGGAAATTGGCTTCCTCCCCCCGTGGCAGTAAAGCAGGACAAAGGAAAAGGAGTCTTCTTACCAGTTAGAAACTTTAATAATCACAGCGAGAGAACAAAGAAAGCAGCTCCTGGAAACGGTGGTGCTCCCAATTAAGGATTACACCACTTCCATCCCTATTAATCTTCGTCATTCCCACGTCTTGTAATCTGAGCTTGTACCTGCTAGTATTGTAATGTCTCATTCTCACATTGCAGAATGTTGCGGGTTGTCTTTAATTACTTAATTGATTTATGAGTATGGGAACTATTTAAATGTCTCCTCTCTCTCTGCTCCTCTGCTGAAGAAGATGGATGTGAGAGTCGTCGTGTTGTTTTGCTATTTGCTTTATAAATAAAAGCTTTGATGTTACTATTCCAACCACAGTTGCTTCTGCTGCATTCTGCTGTAAAGGACTTAGTTTACTATCTGCAAACGGGCATTTAATGCTCACAGTACCTTCTGTGCTTTCTGTTCTGCCACTTTCCGAGCCCTTTTGACCTTGGGCTGAGCAGAGGAATGCTGTCCAGAGACTGAGAATCTGTTAACCCTCTCTCTTCCAGTGTTTCTTCTCCTAGCTGTTCCCCATCCAGTATTTCCCAGCTTCTGCCTTCTGAACTATGCCCCTCTGCAAACCGCTGTTCCAAATCTATACTGTCCTCCTGCTCCTGTGAAGATTCAGGAGCAGGAGAAGGGGGAAACTCCCACCATTCCTCCTCAGTGCAGCCCTTCTCAGCATGGTCCCTGACAGCATCTCCACATAAGCTGGGAAAGACTTCCATTGGAAACCCTGGGGGGCTGCTACCAGTCAATGTAGAAGATGCTGAACTATATAGATCTATGGTCTGAATCGGTATCAGGCAGCTTCCTGTGTTGTAAAACGAATAACTATCCCCCGTATACTTTTCCATCTTTTGTACCTGATAGGATGGAAAGAGACCTTCCAATCCCGCTCTTTGGTGGGTAAGTGGGAAAGGCGAGGAGGTGCGGTGGAGCTTTGAGGAGCTGGCATTCTTATCCAAGAAATCAGCCAATGTCCTCTCCAAGGCTTGCAATCTGCAGAAGGGAGATCGAATCATCATCCTCCTCCCCAGGGTGCCTGAGTGGTGGCTGATAAGTGTGGGCTGCATCAGAGCAGGTCAGTCAAGTCCTCTCTGTGCTAGGAACCGACAGAAAGATCCATTTTTGCTGTGTCTTCCTCTCCTCTCTTTTTAATCACGCTTTGTTTTGCTCCTAGGTGTCACCTTCATCCCAGCCACGACACTGTTGACTGCTAAAGACATCTCGTACCGGCTCCAAAAGTCTCGGGCCAAATGTATAGTTACAAACGACGCCTTGGCTCCATTGATCGACTCTCTTGCATCTGATTGCCAGTTCCTGAAAACTCGGATGTTGGTCTCCAAAGGCAGCAGCAGAGAAGGATGGCTGAACTTCCATGACCTGCTGAAGTGAGAATCTCTGCTGCCTTGTTAAGCAAGTCAGGGATAAGTCAAAGAGTGAGATACAGAAAAACCTGCAATCTTCATCCTCTAGACAGGAGATAAAGGAGATAAGTAACTATTCAGCTTTTTAGAAGACATCTGAAGGCAGCCCTGTATAGAAAGGATTTTTTGTAATGTTTAATGTTTTATTGTGTTTTAATATACAGTCGTACCTTGAAAGTCAAACAGAATCCATTCTGGAAGTCCGTTCAACTTCTAAAATGTTTGGAAACCAAAGTGCAGCTTCTGATTGGCTGCAGGAAGCTCCTGCAGCCAATCAGAAGCCATGGAAGCCCCATCAGACGTTCGGCTTCCAAAAATAGTTCACAAACCGAAACAGTCACGGCATTCAGGTTTGCGGCATTCAGGAGCCAAACGTTCGAGAACTAAGCTGTTTGGAAACCAAGTTATGACTTTATGTTGGAAGCCACCCAGGGTGGCTGAGGCAACCCAGTCAGATGGGAGGGGTATACATTATTATTATTATTATTATTATTATTATTATTATTATTATTATTATACCAGGGAGGTGGCCAGGGTGATTCCTTCCAGATGTTGTGTCCCAGGCACCATGGCCAGTGTTCAGGGGTGATAGATATTGTTGCCCTGCAATAAATGGAGGGTATGAGGGATTTGGCCTGGATAAGAATAAAGAAAATAAACTGGTGTTTGCAAACATTGTGACCCGATCAGTAGGGCTGGCCTGATACATTTTTCTGCTGGAGAAGAACAAGATCATGCAAAGGGATGGGGGATGAATTTAGTTTGCTTCAGACTGTAGTGTAAAACTACCTAATTCACAATTTCTGAAACAATAAGTGAACTCAAAGGCAGCCGTCTTTCAACATTTGCACTTCTCTGAAAATTGTGATGCAATTGTCCCATCAAATACTGTGTACAGAAATGCATACAGTGTGTGCAATAAATATGCACACATTAGTGAAAATTACAGCCACAAACCATTGTGTGAGGAAACATCAATTGCAAAAATGGGCTAAACAGGCAAAGGTGTGTGCAAAAAATATGTATTTTGAGAGAAAATGTCCACTAAAACCTTGGGAGAATTTTCATGAGGGCTTTTAAAAAAAATCACAAACTGATGCAGAACTTAAGACTAGAAGAATGAGAAACTGATGTAGATCATAATGGAGTCTTATGGACGAGGGCTCTATACTGCAACATTTTGCTGCAGGTCCCACATATTCATTTTCTCATTTGTAGTCTGGTCATGTACACTGGAAGCCAAATCCCCATGCTACTCAATTAGTATAAAAATGCCTCTCATAAACGAATAAAAATAAAATTGGCCAACAACAAGTTCAGGACGAAGGAAAGCATTACATAACAGAACTACTTATTGGATGCTACCAGATGTTGTGAGAGATGTTCCCTCTATTTCTACTGTTCAGAGATGAGTGTTGATCTTTACGTAGCCAAAACAGCACTATCCATGCACAAAGTGGGATGCTTCTGTAACTGAACCATTTGGTAGCAGACACATCCAAATCCTAAAAGAAGCTGAAAGAATTTCACAATTTGAGCTTGCAAGATCATAAACCATTTTGACCACACCTAGTCCACTTTTACATACCTGCTTCTCTACTTTAAAGAGCTGCAGGTGATGATCACCAGCCTGTTAAAACAAGGAGTGAAGACCCAATGATCATCTACTTCACCAGTGGAACCACGGGTTATCCCAAAATGGTGGAACATTCCTGCAGCAGTTTGGGGATTGGACTAGCAAGTACCGGAAGGTATCTCCTATCCCTTTCTAAATCTTCAGGTACGGGAATCACAACAGGGAGTCTTATGTGAAGACTGAAGAGTGACAATTTTATTGTGGCAGAAGTCATCATGTGCAGTGACTGTGGCCTCCGCCAAAAGCTTAAACCACAATAAAGTGTCAATCCTCGGATACCCAAAGGAGGGAAACTGGACACAGCTGGGCTGGCTTGCTGATGTTATTAGGCAAATCTATGGTGTGACCACACTTGGGGTGCTATGTACATTCCTGTCCACCTCACCTCAAAAAGGATATTGTGGAACTGGAACATGTTCAGAACGTTAAAAGGAGCCTGCTAGAACAGGCCATTGTGTCCAGTCCGATGCCCATAAAGGCCTCCAAGCAGGATCTGACTGCATTAGTGCTTTCCCTACTTGTACTTCCTAGAAACTGGAATTCTGAGGCGTCCTACCTACAACATGGGGACGCGGGTGGCGCTGTGGGTTAAAGCCTCAGCGCCTAGGACTTGCCGATCGAAAGGTCGGCGGTTCGAATCCCCGCGGTCCCAGCGCCTCCCGTCGTTCGGTCCCAGCGCCTGCCAACCTAGCAGTTCGAAAGCACCTTCGGGTGCAAGTAGATAAATAGGGACCGCTTACTAGCGGGAAGGTAAACGGCGTTCCGTGTGCTGCGCTGGCTCGCCAGATGCAGCTTGTCACGCTGGCCACGTGACCCGGAAGTGTCTGCGGACAGCGCTGGCTCCCGGCCTATAGAGTGAGATGAGCGCACAACCCCAGAGTCTGGCAAGACTGGCCCGTACGGGCAGGGGTACCTTTACCTTTACCTTTTACCTACAACATAGAGATAGAGTCTTTAGACAAGCCTTATCCTCTGTGAAGATGTCTAATCCTTTTTTAAAGCAACTGAGGTTGGCGAACATCTCACCAAACACTGCCAACACAGATAATCACAGTTTCAGGGAGGTTGTTTAAATCTGAGATATTGCCCAACCTTGATCAGCTTAAAGTCATCCCCCACCCCCACAAACCCCACATTCCAGCAGTTGCTGTTCTTTAAGTCTTAAAACCAAAAGATCTGACCACATATGACTTTGTGTTACATCTCGTGTGGCCCACAGACATTGGCTGTTTAATTAAATGTAATTCTAGAGCACCGATCGTAGGATTATAGAGTTGGCAGGCACCCCGATTTCCTGCAATGCAGGAATGTCAGTTAAGCATCCATGACAGATGGCCATCCAACCTCTGCTTAAAAACCTCCAGTGAAGGAGAATCCACAACTTCCTGAGGGAGTCTGTTGAACAGCTCCTACCGCCACAAAGTTCTTCCTAATGTTTAGTCAGAATCTCATTTCTTGTGACTTGTAGCCTTTGGTTTGGGTCCTACCCTCCAGAGAAGGAGAAAACAAGCTTGCTCCATCTTCCATGTGACAACCCTTTAGATATTTGAAGATGGCTAGCAGATCGCCTCTCAGTCTCCTCTTTTTCAGGTTAAACATACTCAACTCCAACAATCGTTCCTCATAGGGCTTGGTTTCCAGACCCTTGATCATCTTGGTTGTCCTCCTCTGTACATGTTCCAGCTTGTCAACATCCTTAAATTGCGGTGCCCAGAATTGGACACGGTATTCCAGATGTAGTCTGACCAAGGCAGACTAGAACAGCACTATTCCTTCCCTTGATCTGAACACTATACTTCTGTTGATGCAGCCTAGAATAGCATTAGCTCTTCATCTTTTCTTCTTTTTTCTTTTTCTGCTGCTGCATTACACTGTTGACTCACGTTAAGCTTATGGTCTGCTAGGACCCCTAGACCCTTTTCACATGTACAGCTGACAAACCAAGTGTTCCCCATATTATATTACACTTGTTTGCCTCCTTATTAACAGGGACTGGATGGACCTGAAAGCTTCAGATTTGATGTGGGGTTTCTCCGACACAGGCTGGATCAAATTTGCCTTCAGCAATTTCTACCCTACATGGATGCTAGGGGCATGTGTCTTTCAGCATGGCATGCTGCAGTTCGAGCCAACAACCGTTCTCAATGTAAGACTAACACTGCCCTATTTGAAAGGCAGGAAGCATGTAAAATATAAGATGTGTGAGACCTCCCGAATCACATGATGCATTTGGAGTGTGTGTGCTTTTCCCTCCTAGACTCTTTCCAAGTATCCAGTGACGATCTTCTGTGGCACCCCAACTATTTTCCGTATGCTTCTGCAGCACGACGTTAGCAGGTACAACTACCTGGCTGTGGTTTCTGGAACTCCACCCTAGAGTAACTTGATTCCTGTTTGTGTAGCTCACTTCAAAGTCACTCTGCCTGGCCTGAGTCCAGTGATGGCTGGTGCCTGTCGGAACTGGTTGGGCAAAAGATAAGGGAGGCCAACAGTAGGTGGAGCCAAAGAGCCAATAATAGAGAAAAAACTCCCCTATTGGTTCTAAGTAAGAACTCTATGGGAGATGACTGAGGGTAGACTTTGATGCACAATATGCCTCTGCTGGCTGACTCTTTCGTTGTCCTTCCCCTTTTCAATTTTATCTCTATATCTATAAAACTCTCAGAGTGTGGATCCAGCTGAGGCCAAATTGGCGCCACTCATTCTTTGCTTTTCCATGTGTTCTGGAAAAAAGTCGGATCTGGTAGAATTAAAACGGTTGTCTCTTTTTAGGAAAACTAAATGCTTCTTCATATCCTTTTCAGATACCAGTTCAAGAGTCTGAGACGATGCCTGAGTGGTGGGGAACCAACCAACCTTGAAGTGATTGAGCAATGGAAAGCTCATACCGGAATAGTAATCCGTGAAGGCTATGGGCAGACAGAGACTGTATGTTTGCATTCAGACACAAACATATATGCCAATGAGCAACAGAAGCCTATCAAATCCATATGCATGCTTTCCCCCCCAAACTCCCCAACTTTGATATGTCCCTCAGTCCATATTGATCATACATAATTCTTATGCAGCACGTTCATGATTTGTCTGCACAGGTAGAAATGGGGGGGGGAATTGACACCAGAAGCCCAGGCTCAATGTGATGTCAATAATTTCTGATTGGGTGGGGTGAGGGAATGGAATGGAATACCCTGTGAAAGAATGTGGCTGTTGGTTTTTGGAATCCTTTGCAAGAAAACTTCACGATGCAATTTTTTTTGCAGGTCCAGCTTGTATGATCCTTCCCCAAATCGGTAAAGAGGCAGATAGTTAAAGACAACTAAAATTTATCTAATTCATTAAAATCCATAGTTGTTACACACAGAGAGAGAGAGAGAGAGAGAGCGCTAGCTGATTGCACATCTACCATTTTTTCCTCAGACCATACTTTGTTCAACCCCGAAGGATATGAAAGTCAAGCCGGGGTTTATTGGACCATCATCTCACCCCTTTGATGTCCAGGTAGGCATGTTTATAACACAGGGGAGCCATAATGGTCATCTTGGTTGTAACAGCCCATGTTGTATGATTTAATATCACGATACCATATTCTAGTAAAACTTAACACTCAGCTAAAATGACAAAATGGAAAAGCTTGCATAACCCACCCTTATTTATCTTTCTTTCTAGATAATAGATGAACATTGCAATCACCTGCCTCCTGGGGAAGAAGGAGACATTGCTGTTAAAATCAAACCCAAAAGGCCCTTGGGTCTCTTCTCTGGTTACTTGGTAAGGAGCATAGGTGCCAACTCCCTGAGGCCCTGGGTGCCTGAGCACCCACAAAATTCCCCATGAAGGGGCTGGGCACCCACAAATTTCAGTGCCAGGGCCATGCACGCTGCATGGCACCCATGGCTGCAGGCATCCACGGTCACAGGGCCAAGCTGGCACTGCTGGTAAGGCGGGACCCTTTCAAATGGTTGGGCATTATTCAAGGAATATATGATCATGAGTGTTTCCTCAGCAGACACTAGGAGGACAAAGATTTCACCAAGACCTACTGGCTTCATTTTTCTGCATTCTTGCTTAATGCACTGAGGGGTTTTTTAATATTTTGGTCCATTTTTGTTCTTTCATTTAAGGTCCCAGGGCAGGTGGCAAAAATAAAATACACAATTATAAGACACTTGTGACCAAAAAGCAAACAACTTAAAAACAATTCCCTATATCAAAACCATTCAAGAATGTAAAAGCAATCAATTTCACCTCTAGAACCATTAAAAAAAAAATAGTTCCAGTACAGATGTCAATTGAGGTAAGAAATATATCCATTTAAAGGACTGTTGAAAGAGGAAGGCCTTTCAATGCTTATGGATGCTGCCTTCCTGGAAAGAAGTTTTTGGATGAAAGTGTAATTTATGGATTCTTAAAAGTAAGTAAAAGTTTTAAAGGGGTATTCACCAAATTCATGGAGGATGTAATTATTATTATTTGTTGCTTTCCACAGAAAAATGACTCAAATTGACGCAAAGCCACAATATGACTGGGAGCAGCAATGGGAGGGTGTACAGGAATAGAAAGGCCTTTGATCTGATCCAGCAGGAGGTCTTCTAGAATAATATTGACAAATGTATGAATGTTGTGGAGATGGGAGAGACTGAGACATCATGAATCCCCAGCTTGAGGCTCCCGCTTTCTTGAGTACATCTTTGACATCTCCGGGAAACCAAATGTGAGAGCCAACTCCTCACCACCAAACACACACACACACACACACACACACACACACACACACTGAATTTGTTGTGGTAGGAGAACATTCTGTCTGTGTTGCTAGATCTGCGACAGGCCCTTCACAAGGGCAGGACACCCCTTGATGTTGCTGTAATCGAGAGATGAATGTTTCCTCTTTGGCTTTAGTGATCTCTGCTGCATTGTTCTTAGGATGACCCTGAGAAAACAGCCTCGACAGAACGTGGAGACTTCTACATCACTGGGGACCGAGGGATCATGGATGAAGATGGCTACATCCGGTTTGTGGCAAGAGCTGATGATGTCATCTTATCTGCTGGGTAAGCCTATTTTATGGGCACTTGGAAGCACTATTTATTTGCAGCAGAGGTGGGGGACATTTTTCAATCTGAGGGCCACATTTCTTCCTGGCGACCTTCCAGAGGCCACATGCCAGAGGTGGGTAGGGCCAGAGGCAAAAGGAGGTGGAGCAACAAATGTACATTTTACCTAAAGCAGGTTAGTTTCAAACACCCTTCCAGGAAAGCAGGAGGCATTATTGGTGTTCAAAATCACGTCCTAGCATGGCAAAAGCACTCAAGGAGGATGCAAACCAGGGCTGGCAAGGAGTGTGGCCTGAGGAGAGTCCTGAGGGCCAAATGGAGAGGCCTGCAGGGCTGTGTCTGGCTCCTGGGCCTGAGGCTCCCCACTCCCAATTTATATCATGCATACAGGTCACCCCATGCACACCAGTCCCTGGGCGACTCTCAAACATGAAGCAGTAAAATACCATGTTAAAAAATTGTTGGCAGAGATCAATGTTTTAAAAGGTTATAAATATAAAACTGTCAGGGACTGGGCTGAGGAGGAATGGTAGAGTACGCCTCCCTAGCCTGACCCTTCCAGAGAATTACAACAGGGGTTTGAGGGAGGTCACAGCTCAGAGGAAGATGAGGGGAGAAGTTGGAAAACAATGGGAGAGGAGGAGCAGGCAGAGCAGGAGCAGCTGGCTGACATGTTGTCACTAGAAAGCATTCCAGACCCACCATCTCCCAGAACCCGGCGATCCTTAAAAGTAGGAGAGCAAAGAGCTCGAAGACAGGGCACTCTTTCCTACTAGAGGAGTTGTTCCATCATCTTCATTGTTTTTGTTGCCCTTCTCCAATTCTGCAGTATCTTTTTTGGGGGTGAAGCATCTAGAAAAGAATTTAACTTGTGACTCTCGGTATGCAAAGCATGTGTCCTCATGTTGAGCTATGGCCCCTCCTTGTTAGGTATCGTATCGGGCCCTATGAAGTGGAACATGCCTTAATGGAACACCCAGCAGTGGCAGAATCGGCCGTTGTCAGCAGTCCAGATCCCGTCAGGGGAGAGGTAACATGAAATTGACCACCATCCACAGTCAGAACCTAGATAGCAGACTGAGCAGGCAGACATGTCACTTGGTGACAATTTCCCATTCCCCACCCTCCTTATGATGAGATGCACTGTATTTCTACTCAAACAATGCCTCTTATTCCCAAATTTGCATGAATACATATCCATTCACATATATCCATTCACTGCACACAGGTGGTGTAGTGACAATAAAGGTTTATTATTATTATTATTATTATTATTATTATTATTATTATTATTTCCATTTTTATGCAAAATCTTGTAGGTTGTGCAAGTGTTGATTGTGGCCTTTCTTTTATTTTTTTGGGGTGGTAGGTTGTAAAAGCCTTTATCATCCTGTCGCCTGCCTACGAGTCACGAGAGAAAGACCAATTAATTTGTGAGCTGCAGGACCATGTCAAGAAGACAACAGCTCCCTACAAGTACCCCAGAAAGGTAAGAAGAGGGTTCGCGGTTCCTGGGCATCAGTCTTGAGGCTGGATTTAACAACAGGCAACCCCAGCCAGCAGCCTTGGGCGGAGGTATAGCCTGCCAACTCCAACATTTGAACTGCCCAGTCATGTTCAGGTGAGGAGGAGGAGCCTGAGCAACGGACCAAAGTCAGGAAGTCTTCGCTCCAGTCTGCTGTCTAGGAATAAAAGCCTTGGACACTCAGTACAGTCGTCCAAAGAGTAGCCGTCCCTCCCTCCCCTCACGCTGCTGTTGTTTAACATGTAATCAAGCACAACTCTGTATACATGATGAGAGTGTCTTGCACGCTAAATAGCTCAACACAGCACATACTATAACTCCAAATAATGCAAGCTCAAATAATATATATAAATATACAGTCTCAAATCAGTCTTGAAGAGATATATACAATCATACAAATTACTATTCAATGCCACCAGGTTCAAGAGTTCAACTGCAATGTACTGAAGGCCAGAGTGCAGGTTCTCTGCATTAAATCTTGTAGATAAGAAACTGTGTACGAGGACGACTCTGACAACGAGACGTCCGGGTAAAATCTCTGTCTCGTCTTCCTCCTTCAGGTCGGTCCAAGTACACTGACGAACAGGCAACTTAATGCTCACAATTAGGTCATGTCCTGCCTTGCGTGGGCACTCAGCTTCTGGTAAAATGCTGTTTAGCATGTGTCTTAACCTTGCTTTTGCTTCCAGGTGCACCCTGTGTATTGACCTTGCTATGGTTTGAAATAATAGTAATAGTAATCTTCTGGGAGCAAATTCCACAGCTTATGTATGTACTGTATGAAGAAGTACCTCTTATTATCTGTCCTGAATCTTCAAACATTCAGCTTCAATGGATCACCCTGAGTCTAAGTCATTTAAACACTTCTATCATCGTTTCCCCTGGGAAAGGAATGACTACAATGACCGATAAAATGTGCTTATCTCTCCCCCCCCTCTCTTTCTTTCTCCTTGATCTTTCAAAACAGATAGAGTTTGTTCAAGACCTGCCCAAGACAATTTCCGGAAAAATCCAAAGGAAACAGCTGAGGAAGAAGGAGTGGGAGAAAGCCTAACAGGACTCTGAAACCAGCATGAAAGGACTGGTTTTTATTTGTCTCAATAGTCTCAGAGGTAGATAGATAGATATAGACAGATGATGATAGATAGATAGATAGATAGATAGATAGATAGATGATAGATAGATAGATAGATAGATAGATAGATAGATAGATAGATAGATAGATGACAGATAGATATAGATAGATAGATGATAGATAGATAGATAGATAGATAGATATAGATAGATAGATAGATGATAGATAGATAGATGATAGATAGATGATAGATAGATGATAGATAGATAGATAGATAGATAGATAGATAGATAGATATTAGATAGATAGATAGATAGATAGATAGATAGATAGATAGATAAATAGATATGATAGATAGATAGATAGATAGATAGATAGATAGATGATAGATAGATGATAGATAGATGATAGAAGATGTAAACTGTTTGCCATCAGGGACAAATTAGACATCACCAATCACCTATCAGCATATGGTAACGTTAAAGGGTTTCTGACTATGCATGAAGCCTGACATCAGCGCTTTCCAAATCACTTCAAGGTTGGATTACTGTAATGCACTCTGTGTGGGCTTCCCTGGCACCTGACCCAGAAACTGCAGCAAGCCCAGAATTCTGCAGCATGGCTGCTGACAGGAGTAAAACTCCATCTGCATATGACACCTCTGCTCAGAAATCTGCTCTGGCTGCCCATTGGTTAACTGCGATAAGTTCAAAGGTGTATATTAAGCCCCTAACAGTTTGGAACCAGTTCGTTTGTGAGATCACCTTACCCCATAGATGACCACGCAAATTCCCCCTACACCTAGTCTTTCCTATCCACCTCCTTTAAGTAGAGATTCCATTTGTTTGCACCTCCTGCATGCACAACTTGTGCCAGTGGCGAACTTTGGGCTTTAAAATTTCAGCTGCGCTCTGTGCAATGCCAAAATTTGGCACTCCCCATGCCTTCTGTTGTGCATCAATGTTTCAGCACCCCTCTCGACTCAGCACCCAATGCGGGCGAACCAGTCATGCTGCCCCTAAATCCGCCTCTTTGTGTGCCCAACTTCTGCGCTGTGATTTCTTACTGAATATACTTTAATAATGGGCAGTGGAACCCAATCATCTATTTCTTAATCCGTTCCAGGTTACAATTGCAAAAACAAAATAAAAAAGAGCTCTGTTCATTGCCAAGTTGTGCTTAACGTTGTTTTTAACCATACACCACCTGAAGCAAAAAGGACGTGTGCAACCTTAGTGTGCTCATTTGGTTGTTTATATCATAAACACAGGGCAAAGGAGTTGTTACCCTCTCTAAATAACTTTACTACCCATGCCTTCAAGAAGACCTTGGTTCTCTTTCATTGCCACAAAGCTGAGCTCACGAACACATCTGCTCAGATGCAGCCTGGGAGAACAGCAACCGGTCTGATGGCCAAGCTGCCAATTATCTTTCAGCAAAGGACCTTAATGGAGTGATTACCGGGCAAACAAACACAGTTCCCAGAAGGAACGGGCCAAGTGCCTCCCCGCAGGTGGATCTATAATACCCCAGCACTTTGGGGGATAATGCTGTGTTTCTACAACGACTAAGCTTTTAATTGATGCTGGCGAGGGAGACGGGGTCAGCTTTCTTCCATCTCATAAGGGCAACTCACATTCATAGCGAGTAAGAAGGACACTCCTGTTGGGTGCAGAGGGCATCTCCATGCCCCTTCACGCTTCATGCTTCTTAACAAAATGAGAGCAGTGAGCAGAAGACTAGATAGGAGCTGGCTCCCAAGGAAAGCAATTGTCATTGGTAATGAGTTCTCCAGGGGACGAGGCTCTGCTTGTTTGGCACAGATACCACCTTAGCAACACAAACAACAGAAACATATTGCCCTGCTTATGGACTTCCCCATAGAGACCTGGTTATCCACCATAGGAAGCAAGATGCTGGACTAGATAGAGCCTGGATGTGGGGACCGTTGGTCCTCCAGATGCTGTTGAGCCATCATCTTCATCATCCTCTGATGCAAGTTGTAGCTCAGCCACATCTGGAGGGCCAAACGTTTCCCACTCCCAAGTTAGACTTTTAGCCTGATCCAGTAGGTGTCTTAGGTATGTATTTAGTTAGGACAGTCCCTATTATGTAGTAAATGGCTCATTGCCCATATTCATCTCATGGTGGTGATCAGCTCAGGCTTCAAGAAGAGCATTAAGGACCTAAGAAGAGCCTGCAGGATCAGGCCAATGGCCCATCTAGTCCAGCATCCTGTTCTAGCAGTGGACAACCAGATGCCTGTGGGAAACAAGCAAGCAGGATTTGAACACAAGACCACTCACCCCTTCTTGTGCAAGCTGCACCTCCAGTTTCCAGTTCCTGGCTTTGGGCAGTATTCTGTCCCAGCCAACAGTCCAAGATCAAGTGAGGCATGTGTAATGGGGGTTGGGCTTGTAGCAAGTCCTCAAACACCAGATCACATACCAATAGCACCAGTTCCAAATTCAGAAATGTAGGGGTTATTGTGCTAATTTTACTGGTTATAATGCTAGCACTTCTTCCCCAGTTTCTAATATTCCTTTTACACTGCAGCACCATGTTGTGTTATGAAACTGAGACTTTTTAAAAAATAAATAAATAAATAAACATTCCACCACATTGTGCTAAAGTTTAAAAGGGCAAGGAAAGACCTTATTTTGTCAATGCAAAACTCAAGCAATTTTCCCAGTTGCAAATGGATTCCCACCCCCCTCAAAACAATCAACACCAGAGGTAAAGGTAAAGGTACCCCTGCCCGTACGGGCCAGTCTTGACAGACTCTAGGGTTGTGCGCCCATCTCACTTAAGAGGCCGGGGGCCAGCGCTGTCCGGAGACACTTCCGGGTCACGTGGCCAGCGTGACATCGCTGCTCTGGCAAGCCAGAGCCGCACACGGAAACGCTGTTTACCTTCCCGCTAGAAAGTGGTCCCTATTTATCTACTTGCACCCGGGGGTGCTTTCGAACTGCTAGGTTGGCAGGCGCTGGGACCAAGCAACGGGAGCGCACCCCGCCGCGGGGATTCGAACCGCCGACCTTTCGATCAGCAAGCCCTAGGTGCTGAGGCTTTTACCCACAGCATCACCCGCGTCCCTATCAACACCAGAAACAAGTGCTAAATCTCCACTAGATTTCCAGAAGTGGCTTTCACATTATGGGGACGACCACCCAAAGTGCAAAAATGTACAAGCAAACAGCACAAAGATGGACTCAGGTGTCATCTGAATGCAGTCAGACTCAGCTCAGGTTCCAGAAAGGCAAAATCAAACACAGCAGAGGGCAAGTCTGGACAAACAAGGTGAACATAACACCTAGTCTACATGATGGGCTTGAATACTACTCCTACACACCCTCCAAGTGTCCCCATTTTCCAAGAACTGTACCAGAATTACAGAAGCCATCCCAGTTTCTGATTTGATCCCAGAATGTCCCGGTTTTCCTTTTTCTTTCCCTCCATGTCTCGGAGAACAATTAAAAATGGTGTACGTCTGTGGTTGCAAAAACGGGAGTCCTCTTTATATGGAGAATAAATCCCTGAACCAAATGAAGGAAATGTTGATGCTGGCATATAATCTTGAAGGAAAGACTCACCAATCCGCTTTCAATTCTTTAATTCCAATGCTTCTGCAGCCAGCAGTTTCTTTGGAAATGCAGTGCGTATCTATTTCTTTACAGCCATACCTTGATTCTTGAACGGAATCAGTTCTGGAAGTCCATTCAACTTCTGAAAACATTTGAAAACCAAGGCGCGGCTTCTGATTGGCTGCAGGAGCTTCCTGCACTCAAGCGGAAGCCGTGTCAGACGTTCGGCTTCCGAAAAACGTTCGCAGACTGGAACACTCATTTCTGGGTTTGCGGCATTCGGGAGCCAAAACATTCGAGTCGCGAGGCGTTCAACAACCAAGGTATGACTGCATTGTAAATGGGACCTTACACTGTCTACTCAGAAGTAAGTTCTGCTGTGTTCAAGGGATGCGTTATTATTTCTGAGGCTTTCAAAAGGTACACCTAGTAACTGCCTGTTTATTCCTCAAAACAGAAGCATTTTTTTTCTTTATACCCCTATGCTGTCATCTCCTGAGATTTCCCATCATCCTCCCTCAGTTTTGCCAAGGGAGTCAAAATTCATTGAAAACATGGTACTTGGAGGCAGAATTACGCAGATTGGTTTAATGTGCCTAATGTATTCATAACAAAGAATGGTGGTTGCCCTAACCGATGGCTTTAATTGAATCACAACTCCATCACTTAATAGATGTTTTAATATTTTAAATAGCTATGCCCAAGGGCCTTTGTGCAGCTCAACAAACTTATGCTAAGCCATCATTAACTTTAGGCATTTTGCCCAAATTGCTATGATGAGTGGAAACAGTACAGTGCTAAGGCACAACTGGAGCAAGAAAATGAAGAACCACAGAGGAAAAAACAAGAGGAGATTGGGGACAATGGTGGCTCAGTATCAAAATATGCTTGTTCTGTTCTTCATTCTAAGTGAGCAGGTATTGTACCAGGGCTG